ACCTTTGAAACTAGTTTTATGACAAGGGGGAAGATACTGAGAGCCTCAGTTTCCCCAGTAGTAGAATGGAGATAATAATACTTGTACTTAGCTTTACTGGGTTGTTACGGATATGTGTAATGTACTTTGCAACTCTCAAAGTACTATATAAATAAGTTATTCATTTTTTTAATAATGAATACCTTCATTATCCTGGTAACCCTATGAATACTCTTCAGCTTATCAGTGGCCTCCCTAAAATGTGCTCTTCAGAATTATACTTAGTATTCCTGATATTGTATATCCAGGGTGGCTTACCGTGGAATTATCACCTTCCTTCTCTTGGATACTGATCTTCTTTTAATGTAGCTTAAAAGTACATTGGGTTTTTAGGTTGTCATGTCACAATGTTGATTGATGTTAATCTGGCGTTCTCACTTTTTGAAAAAATTATCCAGGCATAGCTGTCACAAGTAAGAATTATAAATGCCCTTGGAGAGGAAGATGAATATCCAATAGACAAAAATAGGGAAAGTGTTGTTAGGATTTGGTAATGTACTTTTGAAAGGATTACAAGAAAAGCAAAAGGCTTAAGAAACAATGCAGTTGTTTAGGGGATATGTACAACTAATTATCTCAATGGATAGCTTGCTAGATTTGGAGTCAGTAAGATCTAAGTTCAAATCCAGCCTCAGGCAAGCTTACTAGCTCAGTGACTCTGGGCAAGGCTTCTAACTCTGTAAACCTCAGTTTTCTTATCTATAATAATAATAGCACCTACTTCCAGGGATGTTGTGAGGATAAAATGAGATAATATTTATCAAGAGCTTTGTAAACCTTAAAGCACTATATAAATTCTAACTATTATTATCTGTGATTGTAGTATAATCAGAAAATTACGAACGGTAACTGCTTTTTAATTTTTGAAAGTAGATGCAAAGAGTGTAGTTTCAACATATTTGTTAACTTTGAGATATTGATATAACATTCAAATGGAAATCTTAGAGTCAAGTTAAGTGAGTAATGGGGCATAGTCACATATGTATACTACACTTTAGTGAAGTATATTTCCCTTGACTAGAGTCTGTAAAAGAGAAGACAGTGGATTAAGAGACTCTAAAAAAGGAAATTTTTACAATAACAATTACAAATTATCCCAGTGATGAGGAAATGGGCAGAGTATCAGGAAATAAGTGTAGCTACCCCAGGTTTTCTCCACTGAGGTTGGATTTTAAAACAATATGTTTAAAAGATGGAAAAAAGGTCACATAAGAACAAAGGCAAAAAATGTCATTGGACTGCAAACTCATCAAAGCAAAAAAAGAACTGAGGCTTTTGAAAAATACTATAGACAATTTAAAAGGGCTTATTAACTCTAGAGAAACAGAAAAGGAATCACCCCACTACCCTTCCTCACCTGCATCCAGTTTTCTACCTATTTTCTTTATTATAATAACTGCAATGAAATCAATGCTACCCTTACAGGAGGAAAAGATATGTAAATGGGATCCTCTTTTGTTCTGTTCACTATCTCTGTGATTTTCCAGACCAAAAAACCCTTCCCAAGACTCTCTTCCTCTCTATGTGTTTCTCTCCCCCCCCCCACTTTCCTTAAAATATTAGCTTCTGGAGAGTAGTGAAACCACTTGCTTTTGTATGTGTATTCCTAGTGCTTAGCATGTGATAAATGGTTCATCAATACTTTTTCATTCATTCAAAACATAACTACTCCTCATTTTATTTCCATAGTCTGAGAAAAATCTACAAACCAAAAAGGGTAAAACAAACACTAATCAAGAAAGTGTTAAAGGTGCCAAGTTAGTAAGAAAACAATTGGCTTCTTTATGTGAGTTCTAGTCTTTTGGGCTAAAGAATTATATCCCAAAGTGCTGACAGAACATATAGAGACATAATCACTGAGACTGTCAGCATTCTTTAAGGAATTATGGATTATGGGAGAAGTGCCAAAGATTGAAGATTGACTAGAAACTGACCAGTAAGATGGTCTGGCAAACTTCTAGAATAAGTTATTAAACAGATCATTTGTGAACATCTAGAAAGTGAAACTGTGATCACTAGGATATGATATAGGTTAATTTTTAAAAAGTCTTGGCAAACTAACCTTTTTTTCCCCTTTTCTCATAATGTTATTGGATTGATCATTTAGATTGTAAGCTCGTTAGATTTTAAGCTCCTTGAGGGCAGGAACTGTCCTTTGCTTCTTTTTGTATCCCCAGTGCTTAGCCCAGTGGCTGGTATATAGTAGGCACTTAATGAATATTTATTAAATTGATTGATTGAGTAAATGCAGTTACCTGGATTTCAGCAAGTTTACTTGTCAGCCTTTTCTGTAGTTAGAGCAATGGTGGAAAGATGTGGGCTTGATGGGAGTATAACTAGGGGGAATTCATAACTGGTTCAATAATAGGAAAATTGTGGTTCTGTGGAAATAGCATTGTATACAACTTTCTCAATAGCACTGTAATTAGAGGACTTGGGTTCAAATCTTGTCTCTGTCATTTACTACCTGTGTGGTAAATTACTTCTCATTTTCTATATCTTGAAAATGGGGTGAGGAGAGGAATTAGATGTTCTCTTAAGATTGCTTCCGGGTCTAAATGTATGGTCCTGAGAACTGAAGATTGTTAATTAATAGCAACTTGTCGAGCTGAAAGGACAGTTCTGATTGTGACCTTATGCTGTACAACAGTTGTATCAGTGTTTTGAATGATAGAAACTATACTTAATCAGATGTGCATATGGTATACTGCTGGCAATTATTCCAACAGAATCAGGATCCAGAAATTTCTTCATGGGATGGAACAGTGGACCCAAGCTAAGATAATAACATTCTGTAGGGATAGAGGTAAAGTTAAACTTAGGTTTAGGCTCAGGTATCAGTAAAGAAGTGTCAGGTGTTGTTACAGCATTTATTGGGAGGAGAAGGGTAAGGTTTTAGTTGACTACAAGCTTAATGTGAGTTAATAATGAGGGGCAAATGCCAAAGCAACTTCAATTTAGATTGAATTAAGAGATTAAATTAAAGTATCTAGAACTAGGAGGTAGTGATTCTATGAGCTGATTGGACCACACCTGGAGTATTATGACCAGTGCTAAGTACCATATTTTTAGATGACTATTTATTAACTGGAGCATGCCCAGAAGAGGATGATCAGTATAGTAGAAGGAGTTAGTTAAACCATATCATTTGAAAAGTAATTGAAGAGTTAGAGATATTTAGCCTGTAGAAGAGATGTAGGGGGAACGCGATATAGCTGTCTTTGTTTTAAGGGCTGTCATGGGGAGAAAATTTTGTCTTATCCCATGCATCTTCAGAAAACAAACCAAGATTAGTAGGTAGAAGTTAGATGGAGGCAGATTTTGATCAAGTAATCAAAGATTATTCCAAATACTTAAAGCAAACTAAAACTGGAATGGGCTGCTATATGAGGTGGTTAATTTTCTGTTAAAGAAAAGCAGAAGTTGGATGATCTGTCAGGAATGTTGAACGGAGTATCACTAGAATGTAGAAAATCAGACCAAGGAACCCATCAGAACCCTTCTAATGCCCTGTGGATAACTAAAACTATAGTACTGATAAAGGATGAGTAGTCAGGAATGGAAATGTTTTGAGAATCAAAAGCAGCAATAGTTTAAAACCTCTGGGTGGATGTATTCTTCAGGAGAATTAGTTCAGTCTTTGACATATTTTTCTATCTTGAATACCTCATTAATTGGATGTGCTTTTTTTATGGAGGTATAAGAGGTGGTATAATCTCAAGGATTAGTGGACTGGCCTTGGTGTCAGGAAGACCTGAGTTCAAATCCTTCCTCTGTCACACTATCTGTATGATCATAGGCAGATTCTTTAACCTTTCAATTAGTGCGTGTTTCCTCATCTATAGAATGAGGGGCTTGGACTTGATTGCTAAAACTATAAACTACAGGTGAGTGGCTGATAAGCATCAGGGAAAGGAATTTCCTCTGTAGAAGTTCCTTACATTGACAAAAACCGTTTTGGACACCTTCTGTCCTCCAACAACAACAACAAAATCCTACAACCATGAACTCCATTAAATTATTCAAATTCATTAATTGTATTATAATTGAATATTGCCAAGAGTGGGTTACCATATTTTTTAATATTTGATTGTTCTTATTTTATTGTCACTTATTAGCTAGAATTTGAACTGTAATTGATGCTGTTTGATAATATTATGAACTAGGGAAGGTCCAAATAATGAGGGCAAAAGAAGTGTCTTAAAAGAAGAATGCTATTTAATTAATTTTCAGTCAAGGTAGTTTAACTGTAGACTGTTGGGAAGCAATAGCAAATAACCTATCAGATTGCCATGTGTAGGATAGCTCTAAGGCCAACTGCAAGTCTTAAGCAGGCGCCATAAATAGTCATTACAGCTGTGAATTTAAGAACACTCTTTAAATCTTCGTAGAGTCAAAATAATTGTTGGTCTCCCTTAATCTTTTCAGCTATCACAGGTATCATACAGCCTTGAAAATGTTATCTAACAGAATTTTAAAGTTAGAAGGGACATTAGTCTAAAAGATTTACTTCAACCCTCCTCATTTTACATATGAAATGTGTCCAGGTTCATACAACTACTTAGTGGCAGAATCAAGACTCCAATCTCAGGCTCCTATCTCCCAATCCAGTGCTTTTTTTTCCCACTACACCATACACATGGCCTCTTTTTGAATACAATGAAAAATAAATTATAGGAAATAGTGTTGTCTAAAGCTTTGATCTATCATAGTATTTATTCTGGTAACAGAAGCAGTAATAACAAAGTTTCTGCTTGATTTGACCTTTTCTACAATTACTCAGTGAAGCAATTTAGTTTTGCTATTGAACAAATAAAGAGAAAAGAAAGAGAAAAGAAAAACTCCAAGGCGTTTTTTGTTTGGAGTAATTTCAGTTGCTAATTGTTTTAGGGGATTGGTTAGCTTGTTTAGAAATGTATTGTTTTTTAAAAATATTTTCCTCTTTAATCCTTTGTAACTAGCAAGAAGTTGAGAAGTTTACAGACCTAGAGAAACTCTACCTCTACCTTCAGCTGCCTTCTGGTCTCAGCAATGGAGAGAAAAGGTATATATATTTTCTTGGTCTCTGACATTAGTGAAAAAAGCATACAGACAGTCCTCCATTTTTGCCATAATATATTTCTGAAAACTGTCTCAGAAAATACTTGGGGATAAAGATCATTTTTAACAATTTTTCCTTTAGTAAAAACCAGTAGTCTTCTCCATCAAATGGTGTTTGTACATAGGTAAAGCTGAATGCTTACTTTGACTTTATTAAAAAGATAATATACTGCACATTTGGTCATTTTTGAAAATTAGAAACCACAAATAAACAGATTACTGTGATAAGGAATGAAATATAGAAGGATTTTTTTTTTTAGGTTGCTCATTGAAATGAGAAGTTGCAGAATACAAATACTATCATAGGTTCATGATAAATTCCATGTTCTTTCTGATTTTCTGTTTGGGACCTACTCCCTAAATACTTTAATGGATTTATGGTCTTGCCGATGTCCTTCAGTCAGCTAGATTATCCATGTCTTCAGAGTGCTGGGTAACTCTCATTCATTCTCCCCCAATGTAACATATTAATATGTTGTCTTATTTTATCTTTCAAAGTTTTGGCCAGAAAATTTTGGAGGGAGTGTGCTAGCAACTGCTGTGGTAATTTGCCAAAAATTATGTTTTAGGATCAGAAATAAAAAGGGTTTTCTACTGCTTTTGTTTGGACTCAGAAATCTTGGTTGCAGCCATAGCCAGTCTGCTTCTAACATTCAGATTCAGGCTGTATCTTCATCTGACCCTACTGTAACTACGAATCATTAGATTAGCCTCATCAAGGTAGTGCCATTGCTAAGATTCTTGCTATTATCTAAGTCTGGTTGTGGAGTCTGTAGCTGGTCTATTCTGTGCCTTTTTCAGAAATCTAGAAATGGAGGCAAAAGGCTCTTAAAAATACTATGCTATGAAAGTGGAAATTGGATAGGAATGGAGAAATTGTGCTATGAGCCCAGGTGATTTTAGCAGGTAAAGCATATAGATATTGTGGCATAGGTGACAAAGTTGGTCCTTGTGCAGCTCACAGATGAGTGGGACAAAACCGGATTAAAATGTAATTGGAAAATGTTTAACAAAATAAATAAAAATACAGTACAACACAGATAATGTTTATTTATGGATTTCTAACTATTCGAGTTTGATACCACTGCTGTGTAACATATCCAATTTTCACCCAAGTATAGTCTTACCAGGATACCTGGACCAAAATAGATGTTTCCTTTCATGAAAGACACTTGTTCATCAAAGGAGTTAAGAACATTCAGGATAAGAAAGGGCTAATTGTCTCTCTGCCTCTTCATTCAAGTCCTCTCATGCTTTACTTTGGTGTATAGATGACTCTGGGTTCTTGAAGATTATGCCAGCTTCCCAGGTTGGAAAGTTTTTGAGACTAGATCTAATGAAAGGCTTTATGTTTTTTATTCAACTAACAGCCTAGCCAAGATGTAGAAGTATACCAGTTTAGATGGAAGATGATGATATTTTCTGCCACCACACTCTTAAAAGTATCCACTGAGTCTTAAGTTCCATATGTGTTGGTAAATGAAGTACCCACAGCAACAGAGTTACAAATCCTTAGAGTACAGATCCTCGAAGTACCACTATGGTCAAATTTCTGACCTTTACAATTGTTGTTCTGGAAAAGGTCGCCTTTCAAGAGAAGCTGAATATCCCTTCAACTTGGGATACTAGAAATAAGGCAGCTGTGATCAAAGGGGCCCAGGAATGTAAGGCTTCCCATCACTCAAATTCCAAATCTCTTCAAGGTCAACAGAATTCCTAGCCATCGTAGGCCCTATATCTGAAGAGACTTAGCCTTTTGCTTCTATTAATATGTGTCATTTTCTAGGAATGAGGGCAAACAGATCTTAAAGAAATCTAAATATCCTAAGGCATAAAGGAATTTTCTAAAATGATATTCTATTTCAGACCTAATTTCTAATGAAGAAAGGAGATTGGTTTATGACATCCTGAAGTTAACATATTTTATTCATATAAACCTGAGCATTCATATTACATCACATCTCCAACTTCTAAAGGAAGTGTAATCTAGAGGAAAGGTTGTAAGATAACAAGCAGGGAGATCTGGGTTCCAGTATTTATTCCTATACTAGATAAGTATGTAACCTTGAGCGAATGACTTTAGTCTGTCTGCCTTAATTTTCTCATCTATAATATGAGAATATTACTATTTGCCCAACCAGTATCATAGGAATATAGGAATTTGTTAAGATGATAATGAGAAAGTACTTTAAAAAGCACAATGCTGTACCTACAAATATAGCATAATATTCAGAATAGAAGACTAGCACTTCCTCTAGATCTCTCCTTGTCAGACTAAATAAGACTTTTATGAAATCCCTTTGTTATGGTCTTACTTATTTATCATGTTCTGCGTTGTTTTTACCTGCCTAGATTGTTGCCTCATCATAATCAAGTTATGAGATCTTACTGCTACCACCTTCAACCTGGTATTTTCAGCACCCCACCTACCTTTCCATGCCCTTACCCAGCTTCTTTCAGTACTCAGAAAACACTTTGCCTAGCTAGTTCTTACCCCAAAATGGAATCTTTTGTGAGAAAGCTTAATCTCAAAGGAAATAATGAACTTCCTCTATACCACTGGAGTCTTACCCTTCTTGTGAAAGATAATTCTGAAGAAGCAACACCATTCTGTGCTCCACAGATCCTTAGAGGAATTCATACACATCAGTCTGTCAGTGTACTTGATGACTGACTTCACAGGAATAGAGGTGGCTCTATGGCAGACTTGCCATGGTAAATTGGGAGATATACTATATTCTAGGAACATATATTTAAGCTGTGACAGAGAGCTTACTGAAAATCATAAATCCACCAGTTGCTGCTGACTTTTGGGTACAAGTTATATAGTTAGAAGATGTATGGAATGCATCTATGGAGACTTCAAGTTCTGGGTAGGATACTGAAAGAAGTAGGAGCACAGGTAGTGTTTTCATGTCTTCTTTCCATTGATGGTGGTAACTTTGAAAGAGAAAAGAAAACCTAAGAAGTTGATGTTGTCAAAGAGAAGAGTTTAATTTTCTGGGCTATGGTCTGTGATTCCCATAATGATGAGATTCTGGAAAGGACTTGATAGCTTAGGAAGAATGTATTTGATAAATTTGCCAGCCTGAGCAAAAGGGCTTTACATTTAATTTTTGAGGAGAGAGGGGCAAAAGCCCAGATAAAACAGTAAAGGCAAATATGAAGACCAACATATATTAAAGAAACAACATAGTAAAAGTGATGCCAGTAATTATCAGGTGAAAAGGAACAAGAGCCTTGTCAGGAATGAAATTTTATGACCTCATGTCTATTCTTTCATTGCACAATAATAAAGTAGGTGACAGACTTGGATTTATCTCTGCTCAAAATTGTTTCTGACCAAATGAAACAGAACCCTGTGTTTCTGTGCTGAACTTGCTGCTTATCTGTGTTGAACGTTGTCCTTCTGGCTTCGGCCTCGTATTACAAAATTTCAGAATTTCAGAGTTAGAAGGGAGTCTCAATGATTAGCTAGTCCAACTTATACTTGAGCAAGAAGCCCTTCAGCAGCATAGATGACATGCGGACATCTAGCACTCTTCTAGGGCAGCATTTCCACCTTTAAACAGTGCTAGTTGTTAGGGAGTTACTTCTTTATCAAGCCCATTGGAGTTTGTGAGAAAAAGCCTAATCTTTCTTATACAAGACAGCTTTTCAAATAAATTTGAAGATACCTGTCATATCCCCTAAGCCTTCTTTTGGCCAAACGTTCTTACTTCCTGCCTCCAGTTATCATGTGGCATGACCTTGTGTCCTTTCATGGTTCTGGTTGCCTTTCTCTAGGTATTCCAGTTTATTGGTGTCCTTCCTAAAATATAGTGTCCGACACAGAGCACGTTACTTTAGATATTATCTCACCAGACAGAGAACAACACAACTGCTATGTCCTTACTCTTGGGAATTGTGTTTCTCTCAGTACAGCCTAACATCATATTAACTTTCCTGAATGAATGAATTAATGAATGAGCATTAAGTGCTTACTTTGTGTGAAGCCCTATGTTAAGTGCTAGGGATACAAATAGAAAAGTACAACAGTCCTGGGCTTTTGAGGAGCTTGTACTCGTATGGGGGAGACAGCAGATGTAAATCAGATCAAAGGTTTCATATTCCATAGGGTAGAGTGGCAATTCATTTTCTTTAATATCATTTCTGCTGATAAGATCATATCAGTTTATGATGTTGAACAATTTGACAGTGCCATGGAATCTGGTGGCAAGAACTGTTTTTTTCTGAGTCTTGAGTAGCTGCTGAGGAGACAGGAAGGACTACAGCACCCTTAGAAGCAGTTGCCAAGTTTCTTTTCTATAGGGTTTATTTCTCTGGATGCTAGCTGTCCTATCGCATATTGAACTCGAAGTTCACCAAAACCCCCAGATTCTTTTTCTTACAAACTGCCGTATGACCACTCCTCCCCAGTTTTGTCCCTATGAAGTTGATATTTTGAATCTAGATTCTATGTGAGTCACTTATTTAATGTGGCCATTTAAAAAGCTAACAGAATCTTGAGCTGCATTAATAAGAAGTATAATTCTTCATGGGACTTCTTTATGGAACTCTACTTGTCACAAATCATTCTGGAGTATTGTATTCAGTTCCAAATGCTACATTTTAAGAGGGATATAGAACTCAGAGTGGGTCCAGAGTGTGGTGACTCAAATGTGGAGGCTGAAAACCATGTCAGATGGATAAAAATTAAAAGGAATATTTAGCCTATGAAAGAGTAGACTAAGGAGAGAGATATGATAGTCATTTAAATGACTATCTTGTGATTTAAAAAATTTAAGTGGTTATATGTCATTTCAGAGAATTTAACTGAGACCAGTGGGTAGAAAATATAAGCAGGTTTTAATTTAATATAAAGAACGTTTTAACAGCTATAGGGCACTAAAACAGGTTGCTTTGTGAAGTAATTTATTTGCCTGGTTAGTTTTATTATCTACGAAAATTTCAGTACAATGCTACTACTGATTTCAGGCATTATGGCATTCTGAGTTGATGTTATTCAGTCTTATCAGATTAAACTGGGATTATGAAGTCCTAAAACATTGATCAGTTGGAAACTCACACAGAGAAGGATGATGAGTTTGGTAAAGGACATTTAGACTGGGAGAAGAAAAGAAGACTGAAGGAGAACATGATGATTACTATCTTCAGATATTTTAAGGTTATCATGTAGAAGAAAGATTAGACTTATATTGTTTAGCTCCAGAAGACACAGATACTATATATTGGTAGAAATAATAAAGGTAAATTTCTAAGCAAAATAAGGAAAAGCTTACTGACAATTAGGGGCTATCCACTGTCTCAAAGAAGCAATGAGTTCATCATCTCTACAAGTCTTCAAGAAAAAAACTGATGACAGAAAAAATTCTTTTTTTCCAAATGAACATTTGGGTGTAGGGTTGAACTGGATAATTTCTGAAGTCCCTTGCAACCCTTAATTTTCAAAACTAATATTAGCCATTATTAATTATAAGTCATCTTTGCATTTTCTCCCTCACTGCCTTTCTTTTTTTCTATCTTATATACTATACGCTTATTGCAATATTCTTTCATATTCCTATTCTTTAGCAGTCCACTTTTTCTTTTCAAATATTTCTTCAGTTCATTTTATCTGCAATAGTTTTCAGTGGTGATAGTGTTTCACTTTGTTCTGGGGTAATGTGAAAGAAAATACAATTCATTTAAGATCAAGTATTATGGTTTACTTAGTGTTTTTTTTTAATTAATTGAATAAGAAGTTTTCCTTATATAGAACTCAAAATGATAGCTCCAAGTTAATGTTATTTTATTGTATTGCTTCTGCCCATTTCATAACATTTTTAAGGAAATTACTATGTAACAAAGATCTACTTAATGTTGAATTTTGCTCCCTATCATATATTATATTTTCAGCTAGATTTCTAGTGCAGTTACTCTATGTTGTATATTTTTCTAAGTGCTAGGAAACTAAAAACTAATTGAGTTCTTTTTGTCAGTTTATCAAAAATTTGACAGTTTAGCAAATTCAGGCAAAACAGATTGTCACCAAAACTTCCAGTTGCTTATTTTTTACTGAATCATATGTGTGTACTGTCTGTTCTGCATCTCTTGGCCAGTTTAGGGAAGCACTGGTACGAATTTTTAATTGAAAAAAATAAACATAATCTTTGGAGAACATTTGGCCCTGACTATTAGAGGTAGAAAAGAGAGGTGGAAATGGTGGAGTACTGTTAGTTCAATTGAAGAATCCTTCCTTGCTACATGTTATTAGGAATTGACCAATTATCATAAGTTTGTTTTTTTCTCATTTTCAGGCTGTCCTGTAGAAGAAAGTTTAGGTTTGTCTAAAAAAGTCACAAAGTAAGGCACTATTTCAGCTAAAATATATCTTTGTTTTGTGACCAGTGATCAGAGTTCCGTGTCATCAAGCCGTGCCCAGCAAATGCATGCCTTTTCCTGGATTCGAAATACATTGGAGGAACATCCTGAGACTTCACTACCTAAGCAGGAAGTCTATGATGAATATAAGTAAGTACTATATGCAGGTGTCGGGTCTTCTGATACATAAAGGGATTTGAGTATGATACAGTTCTCACATACTATTATCTGCTTCATTATCAGTGAATACCAAGCTGAAGTCTTTAAAATCATGAATGGTATGGATGAATATGGACTTATTCAGCAATTCACAGAATTTGAGGGCACCCTTTGAAGCTTTAAAGAGAAAAATTTGGGACAAATAAATGGAAGTGCACAGCAGGTAGTAAACTTGAGGAACCTAGTTACTGGCAAAAAAAAAATCTTCAAAAAAGGTTTGGATAAAGTAATAAATGACAGATTTGTAATAGATTATGAAGGGAAACTAGTTTGGGTTTTGGGTTTTTTTGTTTGTTTGTTTTTTGGTGGAGGGAGAGGTACATTCCTAATGATCTGAAGCTACTATCACAGAGAACAACTTTGCTTTCCTATAGCACATCGCTTTGTGCTACTGTAGCATAACTGGACCTTTTATAGCACTTCATTACGAATTTCTTCCTTGTGCTCAATCCTGTAATAGGCACTAAAGGTAATGACTCTTGAGATTTTTAAGTTCACAAACTTATTTAGGATCCCTACAAATCTTTATAAACTTCTTTCAAACAAGTGGAAATTTTACCAAACAGGAAGGTAGCAGAGATGATCATAAGAAAGGAAATAGAGAATACAGTTCTAGAAAGAAGCAAGTTAGGAAACCTGTGATAGTATAGATGAGGTGGGCAGTATATGACAGAAACTAGGAAAAGAGGAAACCAGTGCCACTACTGTTGATGTAGTTTGGGGAGAGTAGTTATATAGTTCCATAAATAATTAGCAAATTTTAATTAAATGCTTGCTGTGTGTAAGTTGCTTTAGTTAATACAAATAACTGTTGTATCTGTGATCCTGCCAATTCCCCCAGATATATAACCTAGATATCCTACATGTCCCCACCTGATTTAAAGGAACAAGGAACCTAAGAGAAGTTATTTAACATATTGGTGTGGGTTGTAACAGAATCATAGAATTTGTGTTTGGGAGGGACTTTCACGATTAACTCATCCAGTTCATATTGCATAAGAGGAAACTGAGTCCTTCAGAGAATAATTAACCTGGCCATCTTTACACTGGTGGTAGCAGAGGTAGTATTAGAACCTAGTCTTCTTATTTAACCCCAAATACTTTACCCTACACTACCTTTCAAGGGACTTTAGGGGCTTCTGCAGAAGTTCCTTAATTTCTTTTAATATCATGAAAATCATTAATTTTAACTTTATCAGTGATTTAAATGAAAATGGATCCTTGTTAAAAATTATTGACATAAAACTTGAGTGGCATAGCTCATATTGTCATAAGATAGAGATGAGTTAGAGAAATGATTAGAAACAAAGTCCAACGTGCACTAGTGAAGAACAGTTCACTTAATGTAGAAAAACAAACTTCAAATAAAGGCTAAGTGATTTATGAAATATTAAAATGTATGCATCAAAGTGGACATGTATTAATGACTCTTGCTAAGAAAAAACATGCTGTTGCGTTGCTGATGTAGAAATATGGCAGGTACGTCTCTAGTCAAGTCCTACCCCAATGCTTCATTGTGTTGTAGAGGTGACCCTAAGGTTCTTAAAGGCTATGCCAATGGAGTATAAGTTTTAGTTAGTTCCACCAATACAGAAAGGTTTTGACTACCGACTAAATACCTCATCTGGGGATCAGCATAGCACTTTGGAGAGATGCACAACACCAAGGTTTGCTGCCAAGTGAGGCATTTCTACCACTACCACAATTCAAAAAGCAGTCTGGCAAGGCACAATTTCAGTCTGCATAAGTGGAGAAGATTTCCACATTAGTGAAATTGTAGCTTTTTGCTATTTTGAAATGATAGCACATAGATATACTGCCTAGTTTGGGCCTATACAACTTGACTAATGTGAAAGTTTTGGAAGATTACGGTGGATAGATAGAAAGACATAAAAGTGTTAGAAAATAGACTGAAAAAACTGCCTGATAAAAAAAGTTTTCATCTATCTAAGTGGGATAGTATAGTGACAAAGTTTTCAAATTCCACTTGAAAAATATCAGGAGGTTTAAATCACAGCAAAAAGGATTTAGTTTAAATATACAAAAAAACTTCTTGACAATAAGGTATGTTCCTTATGGAGGTTTGAGTTTTTACATTAGATGATTTCTAAAGTTAATTTTTAAAATTGAAGCTTGTATTAATTAAGATTAACACAGATTTTAATTAAAAAACAGACTTCTTCCTATTAAAATGATAATGGAATCTTCTGAAGCTCAAAATCAGCCTTCCCACAATTCACTGAGTAGAAGCAATTTTTGTGTTAATATCCTTTTGAAGCTGTTCATGTTGTTAGAATGAAAACTCCTTGAGAGTGGATATGGTTTCATTCTTTCTATTTGTATCTCCAACACCTAGTATGGTGCCTGGTGCTTAGTAGGCACTTAATCAATGCAGATTGATTGATAAGAGTTGTCAAGTTATTTTGTCAATTGAGAGAGCTAAAACGAAAGAAATCATAGCTATTACTGATCTCCCTTTGAAAAATAATGTAACAGAAACAACCTCCTTCACTTAACTTTATTTTGGCTAACCTTTTGATATTGTCTTTAGCTGTTTTATTATCTTTAATCAATACATTTATTTCACTAGATGTTATATATAATTAAGATGTTTAGTTTTAAATTTTGTGAATCCTAAAATATGAGCTATGTATTTTAAAGTTCATACATCAATTGCAAGAAATTGCTGCACCCCCCAAGTGGCCCACTACCCCCTGCCTGATATTTGTTGTATACTTTCTACCTCTTCAGACAATCTTGTATTTACTTATTTGGTTATTTGTTTGTCATCTTCGTGTATAATCTTTAAGGGCAGAGACTGTTTTCCTGTTTTTTGGGTGTCCATCAGTGCCTTGCACGTAGCAAGTAGTCATTAAATAAATGCTTGTTAAATTGTAATCAAATCATCTTTAAACATCTATGAGTATATTTCCAAACTTTACTAAAGAAATATCTGTGATCTTCAAATATGAACCAATAGGGAAAGCTAATAGAATGAACCAATCCTAAATCTCTGATGTATGTAAATGCTCAGCAAAAAATTAAAGACAGTAACTATTATTTCTCTTGTTATCACACAAGAAAGAAGTATACAAATGATTTGTAGATGAATTTCTTGTTAAATAATTAATTTCTTGATTTAGCAACCCAAAAAATCAGTTTAACTGCCAGTCTGTGAAATTACAAATGCTCAATGGAAAACTGTTATATTTACTTATTGAAAATTTAATTATATTATGACTACATGATACTCATTCACTCATGCATTTCTTTTTCTATAATCATTTTATTTGTTGATAATTTCTTAATTGCTCAAAGGAATAAGAAATGTTTGAGTCTTTTCATGTGTATGTGTAACTTCCACTAACATCCTTATTCTCACTTATCAACCAAGTCAGGTATCTGTATATTTCTCAAGGTAAAATAAATCCTGAGAAGTTTAATGATATAATTAATCATATTAATATACTCTTTCTTTACTTAGGAAGATTAAGATATCAAATGTATAATGAGTGATTGATAGATAAATGTTATTTAGAACTATATAAACATCAGAATGATGTCCAGTATTTATTTGCAATAACTGCTGTATGTAGAAATAGAATGTTTAAATATGTGAGCATCTGCAAGGTGTTCTGCCTCAATTTTAAGACATAATTTCTGTAATTAGAAATATACATTGCAACCAGAAATCAGTTTTTATTCACAAATGATAGGTAAATATAAGGAACGTAGCATTTAGATGTAATTGCAACATGTCTCTGAGAGTTTTCTTTTAATACGAAAATTCACATTTATATTATCAATAATATGATAAAATATATTCTTTGCATTGTTAACTAAAAGCTGCTGTGCATTCTCCAAAGGTACAGTGGGAGAGATCACAGGATTATAGGTTTAGAGTGGGAAGGGACTTGAGGTCATCTTGTCCAACCTTTCACTTTACAGATAAGGAAACTAAGGTTGCTAGAGATTAAAAGACTTCTTTCCTCACAGAGGTGGAAAAAGGATTTCAGTTCAGGTCCTTTGACCCTGAAGTCACTGTTCTTTGCATAGTACCATGCTGCATTTCATGCCAGGTGTTGGCATATGATGTGTTTCTTTTCACCCCTTTTTGCTCAAAAGCTAAAGCCTTCGATGTTATTTTATGAGGTAGATTAGTATGTCATTTTCTGGTGGCACATTTTAGTCACATTCTCTCATGGTCTGTCTCCTAGTTTTGTCCTGCCTTCTAAAGGACAAATAGCTTCCTCCTATAGTAACTTTTTTTCTTCCCCTCTTCCCCACCAAACACATAATTAAATAATTTTGACTGGAAGGAATAAATCTAATGCCTTTTTCTATATTTCTTTTATGTAAAGACTCCAGAAATGCATATAATCTAGTATCCTATAGCAGACATGACCTGACCTAGGAAGGAAAATTTCTTTTTCCCCTTTCTCTATACATATTCTTCTGTATCCATCCTTTCATTGCCTCAGAGGAAAGGAGAGTAGGTTCATGGAGTTTGAGAGCCAAAGGGTCCCTAGAGATATTATAGATCAATTCCCTCCCTTTTTACAGATGAGGAAACAGGCCTGCAATTTTAATAACCAAGGTCTTAGTCAGTTGGATCTAGAACCCAAAATTCTTGATTCCTTGTCCAGTATTTTTTTCCCATTGTGCTATAAGATATAGCACATAAATATGCCCATGCAGCCTACAACTTGCTTTCCAAATGTCAGTATACCTCTAGTCTTTTCATGGTCAAACTGTGAGTGGTTATTGTGTATCTACTTCCTTACCACATATTCCTCAATCCAGTGCAGTGTTCAATTTCTATTTTTACCACTTTTCCAAGTTACCTAAGGGAACCAGATATTAGTCACATACCACACTCATTCCTGTGAAATACCAGCAGATACAAGTGAATGTGTTTCCTACATGTCTCACTTTACCACTGTCTCCATATTTTCCAGGACATACCTGGGACATATATCCTTCCTGGATAAATTTAGCACTTGGTTCTAAGTTTTTCTTTCCACTTCAGTCCTTACAGCCCGTGATGATGATCCATCCAACTCATTGCCCTCATAGTCTTCTCCTTCTGCTCTTTCCACAGTTCCTTTTCCACTCCACTGAATACGATACTCACTCCAGATCATCACAACAGTACTGTGGTCTTCATGATCACTTAGGACCCTAATAATCCTGAGATATTAGACTCACTGCTTCCTCTCTCTGACTGCAGTCTTCTTATCGGTTACGTCATGCGATGTTCTCTGTAGTTGTTAAACACATTTTCCGTTCTCACTGGGGGCCCACAACCACACTGTCCTTCCTATTCCCTACCTCTTCTTTTGTGCCTTAAATAATTTGTGAAGTGCAGCATTGATTACTGGGGCCCTTACGTGCATTAATGTGGAAATATAATGCCCATTATAAAGTGAATTATCTTTAGTAGGGTGAAATGAACCAGGTTAAGAAATTTTTAGGTTTAGTTTAAAAACTAGATCATGAAACATATCCTTTAAAAAAGCAAATGATCTAATTTTAAGAATAACAGTATGTTATACTGTGAACATATTGTTTCTCACTCTGAATATACTGCATAAATATAAGGTAACACTGAGTTAGGTGTTGTGACACCATTTCTTGTTCAATCCACATGCAATCTAAGTTGTAAAGCATGAAAATAAAAGATCTCTAGGTATCCTGAAATGACCCTGTGCTTTATAGCACTGCTTTAAAAATGATAGTAAGTGATTAAATTGAGTTAGCTGAATTAGGCTTTTTTTTTTTTGAAATACAAAATGAGGATTTAGCAGAAGTTTCAGGGGAACATTTTGGTTCAGTAATAAAGAAGAACATTCCTTAAATTGGCTACGTGGGGAAGCAATGTATTCCATGACCTTGCACTGGTTCAATCAAAGGCTTAATGACCATATACCTTATATTGGAAGAATTTTGGAGCTGGAAGAGACCTCAGAGATCATCTGGTCATAGAATCATAGAATGTTGGAGCTTGAAGGCACCTTACAGATTATGGAGTTGAAGCTTTTTATTTTACAGATGAGCAGACTGAGGTCGATGGATGTTAACAAACTAAGCTGTGGCCACATACCTAACTAGTGGCGCAGCTAAAATTAGAACTTAATGCCCAGAGGGTTGATTGGGCTTTTTGGAAGGAACTTTTTATTATCAGATGGGAACTTAGAGGATCTTGAAAGCTACTTTTAGCTTCTTAAGATTCTGTAAAATGCACAGGCAATGAAAATCTTTGTGATTTTTTCAAAATAAAGATCCTTTTGTTATCTCTTTTTACCTAGTTTGTTTATACTGGATATATATAAAATGCTGTATGCTTTGCTTATTAATGTAGGATGTTGAGTCATAATTGTTGTTTTCTTCTTGGCATTGTCTACTCTTTGACCTTGTTGTTCAGTTATTTTCAGTCGTGTCTGACGCTTTGTGACCTCATTTGGGGTTTTCTTGGCTGAGATACTGGAGTGGTTTGTCATTTCCTTCTTCAGCTATTTTACAGATGAGGAAACTGAGGCAAACAGGATTAAGAGACACCCAGGATGACACAGATAGTGTCTGAGGCCCAATTTGAACTCATGAAGATGAGTCTTCCTGACTCCAGGCCTGGCACTCTGTGCCACCTAGCTTAATTACTTGGTGTCTTTACATACTTAAAAAATGGCATGTTAATATCTTCTTCCTAGAAAATACTTTCCTTCAAAATATAAAACCATTGTCTTTATCAAAATAATAATGGCATTTGGTAGTCTATAACTTATTTTTCTAGTGGGAGCCAAAGTAAAAAATAACAGAATTCTGCCCTTCATAGAGTTTTGTTTTTTTATTTTTTGAGACTGGCTCTCCATATTTCATCTAGATTGGAAGTGCAAGGGCAATTCCTCGGCATTGTCTCTCTTTGATCAGCATGGAAGCTTTCACCTGCTATGTTTTTGTCCTGCACCAATTCTCCTGTCGGGCAATCTAGTGACCTCCTTACTCCTGGTGACTCATCATGTGACTTAGTATGGACATCTGATCAATTTATCCCATTGCCTCTCCTAATTTGTAAGCTCAAAAGATCTATTAGACTCTCTAGTAGGTGGGATTATAGGCATCTGCCACCATGTCAAGCTGTAGTTTTCTAAAATCACTAGGTTTCATGAGTTCTTCCTTACTGAGAAAATTTGAATCTACCTTGCTCACATCTAACTTTCCTCCTTTTGCTTCCCATATAACTATATTAAGAAACTAGAAATGTATTACCTGAAGAAAATTATAGTTGATATATTACCACAGAGTCTTACCAAATCCAGAGAATGAAAAGAAGAGAGCAAGTATTTTAAACTTCTTATTGGGATAATTGCCTGGTCTTTTTTTTTGCCTTGATTTCCTTGAAGCCTCCTTTTGTTTTCCTCAGTTCAGATAACTTTTATCTTGTATTTGTTTCTTTGAGTCTAGTGTAATTTTATTTACATTTGCTTCTAAATTTCTTTGGCATAGTTCTTATGTGCTATTCCCTTTTTCTTTTTAACTAGTTCGTATTTTCTTTCTGGGTTATTTAAACCATAAAGGTGATTAATGACATTGGCAACTGAATTTGTAGTGATTTGATGCAATTTGCTTTGGTCAGCACGCTGAATGAACAGTGTTAAATCATACAGTCATATTTTCTGCATATGTATTGGAGAAGAGACATTTGGAGTGAAAATGGAAAGCTCTGCAACAACACTACTTTTCACCAAATTCTTTAGGTTTCATGAGTAATGTTTGAAAGCCATATTTTAACCCTGTGGAGATAATCAGCTGCCTACCCAAAGATGACTTAGTGTTGTAGGTAGTAATAATAAATAAAATCAAAGTCATTTAAAAGTGGAGATAATTTACTTTTACTAATCAGTTTAGCTCTTTAAAGAAAAAAAAAAGATAAGAATGGTATTCAAGGCAACTCCATGCTATATAGTACTAAGTTATGGTGTTATTTAAACCACCCCTCCCTCTTTTGCAGAAGCTATTGCGACAATCTTGGTTACCATCCATTAAGTGCTGCTGACTTTGGAAAGATCATGAAAAACGTCTTTCCAAATATGAAGGCACGCCGCCTGGGCACAAGAGGCAAATCAAAATATCCTTTACTAGAACAGTTTTCAGTAATCTCTTCAACACTTGCTTACAGAACATCTGTTGTTGTAGTTCAATCACTAACTAAATTTAGAAACAAAATTAAATCAACAAATGTGAACAACTAAAAAAAAGTAAATTTTGTTTTTCTAGCTATCATCAGACTTCAAGAGGAACAGCTTTAAAAAAAAGATTAGTTCATCTGTGTATCAGGATAGTGAGATAGCTTTGCCTGACTTCTTAACACTGTATTTATATTACTTAGTGGTCTGATCTCATGTTCTTAGAAGTAAATATATTTGAGATACTTCATAGTTCAATAAGTAATCTAGCATATTAACAAAATGAAAGAGAAATGCTGATCTTTATACTCTTATCCTCTTGTTCCTTCATAGCTTTAGAAACTTAAAGCATCTTGCTACAAAAACATAAATGCTGTAGCAAAATGTGCTACTAACTGAAAGACTGGCATCAAAAAATGTTCAGCCTGGCAGTTAAAACATACACTGATAAAAAGTAAAAGTCAAGTCAGAAGAAAACCTTACCTTGTAATGCGGAATAAAATGTGTAAAGAAGGAAAAACAAATATAAGTAAAACTTGGGGAAACATTAAAAATGTATGATAAGGTTTCTGAAGGAGGTGTTGTACCATTTGGAAAATACATAGCTAAGTCTTTGATGACATAATAACAAGAAAATTAGCTAATATGGGACAAATGGGAAGAAAGGAAAAATGAGATTGCTCATGTGCTATTTTTAAAAATCAGTCCAGTTTTTTATTAACCATTTATTGTTTTCTGGACCTATTAAGGATTTCACCTCCTGGGCTCCTGAACATAATCAAGTGTGCTCAGATGTGTCTTTATCGTCATAAAGATGAGAATTTTATGTGTTCTGGTGGAAGAAGCATCAGGGGAGAGAGAAGGTTAGAGGCCTTGTGACACTCTAAAGGGATGTTTTGGCTAACTGCCCCAGCAAGAGTTTTCCCTTCTTTGTGCCAGGTTTCCATTTGGCTATTCCTCCCTTGCTGACCAGTTTCTCTGAATTAGCACAACTTCACAGGGCAGTTTATCCATAAATTTATAGCTAGTGACAGTTGTTTAGCTTCATTTCAGATGAGTAAAATTTTACCATGTCCATTTCAGTTTAAGAGGATTCACATTATACTGAAAATTTGATTTTATTAATGGTTTTAGTAAAGTAGACATTACTTTGTACTGAATAATGTTTTGATTTCTACATGATTACCTGGAAAATATTGAAAGTAATCCATTTTTGTTGAAGAGTATTTTAGCACTTAACTCTTTATTACATATTGCTACAGTGGACTAAGGAAAAAAGCTTTTGTTCATATGCCAACACTGCCCAACCTTGACTTTCATAAAAGTGGAGATGGGGTAAGACATCTGTTTTGTTTACTTTTTGACTTTTTACTAGAAATGGACAATTTAACATCAGCATTGACTCATGTAGTGTGGTCAGATTTAAGCAAAAATAGCACCAAAAATTGCCTTTAAGAAACTAAAATAAACACTCCACAGAGACAAAATGCACCATAGCCTATAACAAATTATTTGTAATTAACAGTAAAATAGAACATGATAGTTTTAGTGGTTTTAGAAAATATTAGCAGAGTATGTAAATGTTTTCACAAACCCCTTTTCATAATTTATAACCTCAGTCATATTATTTCTGATGCTTGTGACCATGTTCTTACCATTTTCATGGCTATAGTAATCAGCTAATTTCATTCTTTTTATACAGTAATCTTAGGTTTTGATTTATTGCTTATATATTGAGGATGCATGTTCTCTAAATGTACTTGAATAGAATTTTTCTTTGAGCTTTCTGAAAGTTAACTTTTCCTTTTTCCTTTGATTAGTTGGAAGGAGCCGAACCTTCCGGGCAACTCCAAACTGTTGATGAGGAAGTTATCTCTGCTGCCTGCCGCCTTGTGTGTGAGTGGGCCCAGAAAGTATTAAGCCAGCCATTTGATTCAGTCTTGGAATTAGCTCGCTTCCTTGTAAAAAGTCACTACATAGGCACCAAATCGATGGCAGCTCTAACTGTAATGGCAGCAGCACCAGCAGGTACTAAATTAACTACTGTTAGAAAGCTAAAACTAACCCAGGGGTCTTGACTAGCTGTTATATTTATAATAGCTGTTATATTTAGAATTGATATAAAGAAGGTTTTAGCCAGAAGGGGCTGGCTCATCTCCTTAGTGTTAAGATAATTTGATGAGAGCTCTTTTGTCATGATTAACCAATGTATTCAAGAAGTTTGGTAAGCCTCAAAAATGGATAGTGGGATAAAATGTAGCTCTTAGTATGCAAAGCTATCTCTGTGTATGTGTGCTGCTGTGCTGCTTTATGAAAAAATTTAAGGTTAACCTGATAGAACTTTTATTAATTCCTATTATCATTGCTATTTAAAAATTTAAAGAATTTTTTTCAAATAAATTTCTCCCTAAGAAAGTATTGTTGTTAATTACAATGACTTTCACTTTCCTTGAGAGAGGAACCTTTTATTTTCAATAGGATACAAACACATATGATGTGACAGGCACGATGAGACTGATTTTTAAACTTACTAATACCAGAATTTTTGCATTCAAAAATTTCCTCTTTAAGTCTGTTGAGGAGGCTATACACTACTCTAAAAATACAAAGTATTTTTGGAGTTTTTGGAGTTGCCTTCAGAGCTGTTTTGCAAGCCATATGATAAAATTAGTGTAATTACTTTATAATCACACCTTATTTTAATCTAAGAACTATGTTAGCCAGTTTGAGCATTCACTTTATTAGACTTGTTTCTGACTTTTAGCCAGTTTAAAAAAATGCACCCTTAGCAGATGAAAATCACCACTTTTGAAGATAATCAGAAAAATGTGTGGTGAGCATAAAGGCAATTTCAGATATGTTATGAACAATGACAGCATCATTGCAATGATTGTATAGCCTCCCAGTGTCATTATTTTGAAATGGACTGCACCCATTTACATATCTAAATTCTGGTGTGTTTATTTTAACCCATTACTTTATAGTTTATACTTTGCATACTAATGGAAGGTAGCTTCCATTTTTTAACCAGTTTATTGTTGGAAATAAAAAAAATACACTTTACATGAAAAGTTTATTAACATACAAGCTAAGTCCATCCTAATTCTATAGAATATTATTATGAAATTATATCTCAAATGGAAATGTAGACTTAAGAAATACCTCATATATTTCTGGTGGCTTATCTAGTCTCTAATGAATTCTGAATCACTTTCTCTGTCAAAATACATCTACCAAAAATTTTAAATGTCTCTGTTCTGTTCTTATTGCTCTTATTTTAAGATTATTTTAGGACCCATATTTTTGCAAGGTCTTCTTTGTTTATAATTTGAGTCCTTTCTCTGCATTTCAACTGTATAACATGAATCTGAATTAGAACTAATACACATGCATGTGCAAACACATGCAAAATACATTCTTTAAAGGGCTCAGCTTCGGAGGCTCTTACGTTATAGTTACTGAAAACAATTTTGTCTACTTGATTTTTAGAATTATCTTTGTGAGGGCTAGTAACTGTATATGTGAGAGATGGATAGATACACAGATGCATGTACATATACATATGCACATTATATATACATATATACACACATGAAATGTGATGACACAGTAATTATAGGGTTTTTTTTTTTCCCCAACAAAATTTAATTAAAAGACAGTGTGATTGAGAAGATAGTGAGCTAGCTAGCTTCAGAGTCAGGAAGACATGGTTTTGGGTCTCACTCTGACATCTCCTGGCCATGTGACTCAGGGTATTTGCTTTCACTTCATCACCTCTTTGGGTACTTGAGGTGCTCTGAGCAGCAGAGAAGATGTTGCTCTGCATTGTTAGAGGACCTTCCAAACCATCAGTCCCTCCATTGATGAAATCATGGGCTCAGTCAAACATAAAACAAAAGATGAAAATTACAATTGACACCTATTGTCTCCAGAGCCTATGAATATTCTCAGAGGTGGCAGCACTCTTTTTGTCTTTTGAGTGTAGATTTGATTTGAGGAAATTTTCCACTGCCTTCTGTTTGACCTGTGCAAGTGGCTTAAACTCTGGGCCACAGCTTCCTCATCTCTAATTGGACAAGCCGACCCATAAAACTTCTTTTAGTTCTTACCTTCTATAAGTTGGTCATTTAGATCTCAGAGCACAATTTTCCCCATGGGACCAGTATTGTACATGGAGATTAAGTTCTCATACCTTCCCACAAAAGCCTGTTTAATAATTTTTTTAACGTAAAATATGGCACCAGTAGTGATAATATAAAATCTAACCACTGTTTGTAACAATGTATTATGAGGAAATCCATTCAGAAATATAGCTTGTGAAACCAGAAATACATTTCTGTTTTTTTCTTCTTATCCCTGTTCAACCTGCCAGTCACTGTGAGTAGGGCTTTCCCCAGTTGCAAGCCTCTAGTGGTATTTCCTGTGGCCTAGGGCAGGAGTGCCAAGTAAGTAGGGATTAAAGAGAATAAGGTCAAAGGTTTCAGATTTTAAAGGAACAAGGAGTTAAATAGAGTAGGGGGAGGAATAAAGATCTAGTACAGGGGCAGCAAGGAATGGAGATAAAAGGTCTGGGCAGGAGTTGTAGCAGAAAGGGGGCTTTCTCTTTTTTTCTCCTTTATGGTACACTAATTGTCTTTGGACGGGGGATGGTGGGTAATATTTAAAATTGGGGCATGGGAATATGAGTAGTATGAGGAGCAGTTTGTAAAAGGGATATTCCTGAAACCCCCTTTATGTAAGGAACTTAAATAATTTGGACATATCTAAATTAGGAACCTGTAACTAAAGGTCAGCCTCATTTCTGTTGAATAGGGTAGTAATATTGTTTTGGTTCAAAATGAGGAGTGAGTATAATGGGATGAAACTGATTTTCATGTGGTTCTCAAGCCACAAAGTAGATGTTACAAACATTTTTGATTGTTGTTAGAATAAATGTATAACCTCTCTAGGAGAAATTCATTGAAACTTTATGGCCATGCTTAATAGTTCTAAAACACATTTCTCGTGGTCTTTCTTAGCTCTACATGTCATAGTATCTTTTACACATGCCATTTTAATCAAGGAATTTCCTTTATGTGTTGAAATATGTACAAATGTATCCAAGGTGTGTGTCTGTGTGTGTGTGTGTGTGTGTATTTCTTTCCTATTCCCATTCTCCCAAATAAACAATTTTTTAAAAGATTAAGTCAAATTTCCTGCCAAAAAATGCTAGTCTCATTCAGATAGGAATAAGAATTCAAATGATTTATTAACCCCTACAACTTTATTACCTCTCACCTTTAGTTTTTCTTGAAATGAAGTGATTTCAGCTTTATGCTGATACTGTAGCCATATTCCAAATTTCAAATCAACATTTTAAGACAGTATCTTTAAAAATATGTTAACTAATGTAGTTTATAATGAACTATTTCTCTTCCCTGTCTTTTCATTCTGTCCTCCTTCCAGCATTTTTCTTATTATTGCTGAATGAAAAAGACCTTTGTTCATTCACTGACACTTTTTAAACCTGCTTTCACACCTGATGATCCCTGATCTATCATGTGGAGATTCTCTGCTTTGCTTCTTGTTTCGATCTATTCACCATTCATATACAGCCCTCTGTGCTCTGCAACAGTAGTAGTAACAGGCCTAGAAATATTTTTAAGGGACATGTGACAGGATATGTACCATAGACTCAAAGGCACATTTTCATAAAATTGCTTTATTTTTTTCCTTAATAGTATTTGATTTTTTCCAATTATATTTTTTATAAATTTATAAAATTTCATAAAATTGCATTTTTATAAGTTTTAAGTTCCAAATTTTTCTCCTTCCCTCTCTCCCACCCATCTTCCCCAAGACGACAAGCAATCTGATATAGGTTATATGTTTGCAATAGTGCTAAGCATAAAATTGCTTTATTTTTAAAGAGAAGATTGTTAGCAAGCATTTTATTGAGTACAATTTGCATACTTCGTTTTCCTTATGTTAGAATGTGTTTATTGGAGAAATGGATTGAATTTTCTTTCTTGTAAAACATTCTTCATCACTTCTTGTCCCCACTTGCTTCGAAGAAAACACTTGGTAGAATCTGAAGCCCCACAGAAAGATGAGCCACCACTGTGGCTATCGAAGGCCGCTTGACTGCTGCCTGCTGATGGGCTTGTAGAACACGGGCAGTAGAGTTTGTCCCTCTGCTTCTAACAGTTCTGAATGTGACTGTTCTTCCTTGAAAAGATGTCATTTCTTTCAGAGAAAGTTTGACTTGAGTGAAAGATATTTTGTTGTTTTGATATTGAACTTTGACACAAATCCTATATGTCCTTTAAATTGGAAGTATAAGAATTGCTGAAGGGAATAATTCTAGATATGATGCTTTGGTTGTAACACTGCTCTGCACACATTAGGGACTTTATTTGTTGAGTTGCTTTATTTACCTTTTGTTGAGTTGCAGATTACAGATTTCTCAGGCTGCAGCAGTTATCAGAGTAAAGGAGGTTTCATTTAGTTTCTACTTTTTTATTTTTTTATTTTCAGGAATTAAAGGAATCACCCAGCCCTCTGCTTTTATACCCACTGCTGAAAGCAATTCCTTTCAGCCTCAAGTAAAGACTCTGCCATCTCCTGTTGATGCAAAGCAGCAGTTGCAGCGGAAAATTCAAAAGAAACAACAGGAACAGAAACTACAATCTCCTTTGCCAGGAGAGTCTCCGGGAAAGAAACTAGAAGGAGTTACAACCAATGGAGTAACTAGTATTTCTAATGGAAATCCTCCAATCCTTTCTCCACAGCCTATTGGTATTGTGGTGGCAGCTGTTCCCAGTCCTATTCCGGTAACGTTATCAAGCCACTTTTTAACCCTTTCAGTAAAATGTTTCCAGAAAATACAAAATTTAAATAAACAACATAGAATCATACTTCCTATAACTGGCAAGTTAGCATACTCTATCAGTAATATTATCTTCAGTAGTTTTCTCATTTTACTTATTCAATATTTTAATTATTTTGTCAATTGATAATGCATTATAATACCATATAATATAGCTAATCTTTGGGCCTTTCCTCCCCACCCCCCTTAACTACATTTATGATTTCATCAGTATAGTATCCTCCCTATGAAGAACTTTTTCTCCCATTGCAGTTCATCACTCTCTCTACAGTGTTAAGTCTTACAAAGTACTGAAGCATTGAGAGGCTAAGTGACTTGCCCACTGTCATGTTGCCAATAGATACAAGACGTTAGATTTGAACCCAGGTCTTCCTGACTCTGTGATCCATTCTCTGTCCACTCTACCAGGCTGCTTCTTATTGCCACGTTATACAGTACAAAATCAACTGCTTTTGTATTCTCTTTTGTAAAAATATAAGATGATTTCTAAAAGAATAAATGTTAAAATTTCCAGTGAGATATCCTACTAAATAGTTGTTGCATTTAGTAGTTTATAATTTTATTTGAACAATCTGGATTGGTTATTTTTGGTTAGAGTGTGACCACGGTGAAAGATTTGATAATCATGAAGGCCACAGTTTTTGCATTGGAAAAAAAAGTTCCATTCAAAGCCACAAACATCATAGTTAGAGCCAGTCTTTAAAAACGCATGATGTTATAGCAAATGTGTGCAGTTTTTTTTTCCTTATGCTTATTTGTTAGGAAAAAAAAGTATGTTGTTAGTTTAGAAGAGAGGCAGGTGAGAAAATGTAGCTCTCAACATAGTAAAATAGTATGGTGTTATAGGTGGAGTACTAGAGATAAAGTTAGTAAAACCTGGGTCCAAATTCTGCTATTGATTCTTATTAAGCTGTGGGACTGCAGTCAAATCACTTCATCTGAGTCTCAGATTCTTCATCTATAAAATGTGGATATTTAGGCAGTACCTATCTCACAGGCTTGTCGTGAAGATTAAATAGTATAATTGTGTAAAGTGCTTTGTTTACCTTAAAATGCTATAGAAATGTAAGCTATTATTATTATTACTATTATTATTATTATTATAGTGATTAACCAGTTACCATTCATCAATTAAAGTTCTTGTCCTTTTGAGAGTGAGATATAATATCATCTTCTGATGCATAGGAAATATATCAGTCTATTTGAATGTATACATTAAGTCAAATGTATGCATTCAATTCTGGACCTGACTCATTGTCCATTGGCAATATCTGTCAGAATTATATACATTGATAGACAAGACTTTAGGTTGACCATCTAACTGCAAATTATAATCTAGACAATAGATATTCTATACACATTCTGTGTGTATAATTGGGGCAACCTCTCTCAAGTGATTATGGGTATTATGTAGGAGGCTTTGCAGCATTCCATGGTTTGATGACATCAGCACAATGTTGTATGTGGACAGTACCATTTGGTGGACCTCCCCATCTCTAAAGAATCCTTCTTCACCTTGGATTATGTGCAGAATCTTCTTCATAACAATGGAGGGCACCTTGACCAAGTGTATGTTTTCCCTCTCTTATTTTTCTTGATGTGAATGATCACAAGGTGAAAGAAGGTTACCTTTGTTCTATCTTTACCATAATGTTGTACAGTTTTGATATGGACAGAAGATGCTTTGGCAGTGTTTTGCTTTTATTAATCAAATGTTCTTTTATCATCAACAAACAGTAAGTTCAGTAGGATCTTATATTTCCAATGGTTTTCAGTCAGTTTTATGACGGTAAAATATTTATTATCTCATGTGCAATATTGCTTGTCAGTGCCTGTCTGTTCTCTTCCAGTGCCCTCGTGAAGCATACCCTCGATGTGTGTGTAGATTATTCTTAGGAGTTTTTGTATGGATAGGAAAAGTAGGCGGGTGCTCTAGTAATAACTGTTATTTTCTTTGTTGCCTTTTTTGGGGGGGGGTGGTTCAACTAAGTTCAAGATTTTTTTTTCCATACCTTTGGTCTCTTCCCCTCCTTCAGATCCCTGGAGAATTGATTTCTCAATGCCTTTTAGCACTAGTTTCCTTCCAATATGCCTGGTCTTGTCCACATGCTTTTTCATCTTTATTTTCTTAAATGTTATTTCAACTTCCTTTAGAAACCTGTCAGGGACTGTGATGTTACAGTCCAGATGTAATGGTTCTATTGTCTTTGATGATTTTTTTTTAAAGTTCTTTGTAAAAATCTTTGTAGATTTTTTACATATTTCATGTGTACACATATAATTGTGGAATAACTCTCTTGAATAATGAAACATTAACTATCCATTAAAATATAACACATTTCTGATTCAGAGATATTTTGTGGTGCTCACCATATCTTCCCCTTTTCAATTCATTTCTCAATGAAAATATTTATGCCAGGCATGCAATACCTAGGTAGGCTACAAGTCTTTGGCCTCTTTCATTACTATTTCATTATTCTTGAACTGTATTTTTGAGCACATTTTAAGTCTTGCTTTTCATCCACTTTTGCAGTAGGGTCACTGAGTAGCAAAATATATATTGATTTAACTTGGAGGATCTTATTGAGTACTTTATAGAATTCTCTACCTGCTCATCTTATGCAGCAAATGTCAGTGCATAAGCTGCAGTCAGTTTCACAGTGGTCTTCTTGAAGTTATTCATCATGAAAAATAAGAATTGACCAGATGTCCTATGAAATGAAATTTATTACCTTTGAACTCATTTGAAAACTGTTTTTGTCAACTCATTTATTTGCCTCTTCAAGGAGCTTTCCATTTAGCTATAACCTCCTTTTTGTCTTCTGGTTTTGCTTGTAGGGGAATGAAGATTGCTAAGATTCACTTACAAAGTGAAAAGGAAAAAGATCTTACATTTAGAATACCAGCAACTAAGTTAATGTTTATAGTCTAAAAACTGGTTTTTAGCACTTTCTTCCCTTTCCCCCCATTTTTTTCCACCTATACTGAAGAAAGGAGAACTCATACTGTTTTTTTCATTATTTTATGTGTGGCAATAGTCAAATAATTCATTACTAAGTAGCCAGCCCATTGGCAATAAACTTTTCCACACTTAGGTTGGCTGTTTCCTGGAAAGCAGACATAGTAAGTTCTGGAAAATTATTAACTTTTCAGCTATACAAATTCTCTTCAGAAATCCATTTGGATAACTTCATAAGTATCCATTTAAAGTAAGCAACCGTTTTGAACTCTTTAACACTTTTATATTGCGCAGTATAATATCAGTCACAAAATTTCATTGTTTGAAAGGTACCCGAAAGGCCATCTAGTTCAAATTGTACTTGACCAACAATCCCTTAGACATCCTACCCAAGAAAAGACCATCCATCCTCTGCTTGAAAACTTCTGATTAGAAGAAACTCACTATCTTCCAAGGCAGACCCATTCCACTTTTCAATGGCTCTGATTGTTAAGAAGTTTTCCCTTTTGTAAAGTCTGAGTCTCCTTCTTAATAGCTTCCACCCTTCGTTCTCAGTTCTACTCTCAGAGCAAAGTAAGTATAATCCCTTTTCCATATGACAGCCCTTCATATACTTAGACATGCCTATCCCATTCCCAGTGTCATTATCTCTGTGCTAAACATACGGATATTTTGATCTCAATTATTCCATGTTCTCTGTTAGAAGGATACTTTGTAATCTTACAAAAAATAAAGATAAAAAAAACTTCCCTTCATGTTCATAATAGGATGGTAGAGACAGGACCAGCAAGTATCTATATGGAGTACAGAAACAATAGAAATATATTCATATATAGATGAGCATAAGATTACAGAGATTTGAATGGAAAGGGATCAGCTAGTTCAAATCCCTTATTTTATATATGAAGAAATGGGTTCAGAGAAGGTCTCTTGCTTAAGATTATACAGGTAGGAAGTAGCAGTCAAAGTTATATACCTTAGCCAAGAAATTTCTGAAAGGCATTCCATTCTAGTATGGATATAATTTCTTTTATTATTAGAACTGAACAATTTGTCAAACATACTTAGACTCAAAGTGACATACAATGTATAAGTTCTAGTCCTGGTTCTACCACTTCTAGTTGTAAGATTTGGGCAAGTCACTTGAGCTTTCTGAGGTTCAATTTTCTCATTTCTGAAAGGGATGATATTTCCTACTTCAAAATATTTTTCTAAAAGCACTTTGAAAACTAAAGTGCTATGTGAACACTGGGATTATGATAAGTTCCAAAAAGACTTAGCTGCAACGCAGACTCACCTAAGTTGTAATTTCATACCACAGACATCCTCTCCTGACCCTCACAAGCCCGCCTGCCAAAAACCTGATGGAACTTCAGTATATCTTAAACCCAATTTTTGTGATTGCCTTAAAATCACTAATTCAGCAAACTTTTTTTTAATCTATATGTATCTAGAACTCTATTGGATTCTTCTTTTATAAAGCATCTCTATCCTTTCACCCCCAACCAAGTGTCTGACAGTACTCTACACAAAATGGGAATACAGTATTTGCCAAAACATTGTTATCATGTCAACTTCCAAGTTGTAATGATCGAAAGCCAGAAATCAGGTTAAAAGTAGAAAAGATCATACCTGTGATGTACAAATCACCTAAAGAATGAATTGTGAATGCCCAGTATCAGGTAGATAGAAACAGCATGTGATTTATTAACCTGTCTTAAGCACATGGCATTTTACCTGATATACTTCCTTCCTTCAATATTTCAAAAGATCTGTGATTTCGGCATATAACTAAAGCAAAATACAATCCCTCCATTCTTAGTAAATGGTTTCATGTTGTTTTTGGCCAAAAGAGTTTGTGATCATATGGCCAGTCCTCTGGTGAAGAGGCTTTTTTTCTCTTTGATCTATGGAATCCATTTTCATGGAAGCTAATAATTTTGAAGCATTTCCTGCTTAGTTGGACCCACCAGCACTTCATCTTCACACCATGATGTAGCTTATGAGTGGAACTCTGGGGCAATAATTGAGAATCATAATTAAAATTTAATTTATATATTTCATGAAACTTTAGAACTTACCTTAATATTCTTGATTGGCACGAACGGTGTTGCATTAATTACATGGAACAGAACCAAATCCAGTAAATCTCGTAACATTATCCTATAGCTCCACATGTTGTGAATTACCCTTTCTGTCCTAAACACTTTAATCTGATTTTGTTTTCCTCCTTCCAATAGGTACCAAGAACTAGACAGTTGGTGACTTCTCCAAGTCCAATGGGTTCTTCGGATGGCAAAGTCCTTCCCCTCAATGTACAGGTGGTCACCCAGCACATGCAGTCTGTGAAACAGGCACCAAAGACTCCTCAGAATGTTCCAGCCAGTCCTGGTGGTGATCGTTCTGCTCGGCACCGGTACCCTCAGATCTTACCCAAGCCAGCTAACACCAGTGCACTCACCATCCGCTCCCCAACTACTGTCCTCTTTACAAGCAGTCCTATCAAAACTGTTGTACCAGCTCCACATATGAGTTCTCTAAATGTGGTAAAAATGACAGCAATATCACTCACACCCAGCAACAGTAGTGCCCCTCTTAAACATTCTCCCTCTATGAACAGTGCAACTGGAACAATAGAAGAATCTAGGGCTATTCCCCATATCAAAAATGGTTCTGTTGTTTCACTTCAGTCTCCTGGATCCAAGACTAATGCTGTGGGAACTTCCTCTGTAGAAATAAAAATGGAACCAGAGATATTATTAGATGAAAGTTCTATACAGTGCCAAGAGAACTCCGATGTGTCTAAAGCTGCTAAAGTGACCCCGCGTGGATCTTTGGGGCAGAGAAGTAATTCAGAGGGCACAGGACTGAAACCCTCAAATGAAGGTGTAATTGAAACAAAAGCAACTAAGGCCTGTGACCAGAGGACCAAATGTAAAAGTCGCTACAGTGAAACGCCACCAGTCACTTCAGGCAATAATCACAGCACTCTCACTCTCTCAGTTGCCACTCAGAACTTACCCTTCACCAGCACCAATTCACCCTCTAACGGTAACTCCACTAATAAAGACACAAAATTATTCACTAAAAGTCCAAGGAAGAGACTGTCTTCTACATTACAAGAGTCCCAGGTGCCTCCTGTAAAGAAGCCCCTTGTGGAACAGCTCTCTGCAGGTAACATGGACGCTCAGAAGGGAAGCAGCAGTGCTAAGAAAGATCAGAAAGCTCTCCCTGCAGTAAAAACAGAGAGCTCAGCAGCTGATGCTCAGGTTCCTAGCAAGGTAACTATAAATGTGGCAAATCAGTCCTTAAATTCTAATGTTGTAAATGCCAGTGATTCAGCTTTAGAACAGCCAATGACATCATCATCTCCAGATATAAAAGTTAAATTAGAAGAAAATGTGTTTCTTTTAGAAAATGACTCAAAAGCAGACAGCAGCTTTAATTCCGATGCCTGGCAGCAGCAGATCACTCAGGAGTCTGAATTTTCATCTGCTGGCTGTGAACCACAGCAAATCAGTGTTATGAATATTACTGGTCACTCTGACATTAATGACTTAGAGAAGTCTGTTTGGGAACCATTGCACTTAGAAGGAATGCAGCAGGAAACCTACAGCCAGCAGCTGCACAGCCAGATGCAAGAATCTTCTCTGAGTCAAATACAAGCACAGTCTTCAAATCAGTTACCTCTACAGTCTGACCTAAAGGAATTTGAGCCCACTGTTTCCCAGACAAATGAAAACTATTTTCCATTTGATGACGAACTTACACAGGACAGTATTGTGGAAGAGCTAGTGCTCATGGAACAACAAATGTCAATGAACAATTCACATTCTTATGGTAGCTGTTTAGGAATGACACTTCAGAGTCAAGCAGTAGCTGCAGGAACTCCATTATCTTCTCACCCCAACAATACACACTTCTACCATTCAATCCATAGCAATGGCACTCCAATTCACACACCTACACCAACTCCAACCCCCACCCCAACACCAACTCCAACACCAACTCCAACTTCTGAAATGATTGCTAGTTCTCAGAGTTTATCAAGAGAAAGCCCCTGCTCTAGATTAGCCCAGACTACCCCAGTAGATAGTGCTTTGGGAAGTAGTAGGCACACACCTATTGGTACTCCTCACTCTAACTGCAGTAGCAGTGTCCCTCCTAGTCCTGTTGAATGCAGGAACCCTTTTGCATTTACCCCAATAAGCTCCAGCATGGCGTACCATGATGCAAGCATTGTCTCAAGTAGTCCTGTGAAACCAATGCAAAGACCTATGGCTACTCACCCTGATAAAACTAAACTTGAATGGATGAATAATGGGTATAGTGGTGTCAGTAATTCGTCAGTTTCAAGCCATGGTATTCTCCCAAGCTATCAGGAACTAGTGGAAGATCGTTTCAGGAAACCTCATGCTTTTGCTGTGCCTGGCCAGTCATATCAGTCTCAGTCCAGGCATCATGACACTCATTTTGGTCGATTGACTCCTGTCTCACCCGTACAGCATCAGGGCACTGTTGTAAATAATACGAACAAGCAAGAAGGCTTTGCAGTCCCTGCTCCCCTTGATAACAAAGGGAATAATTCTTCCCTCAACAATAGCTTGAGATGCCGGAGTGTGAGTCCTGCAGTCCACCGCCAACGTAACCTTAGTGGAAGCACCCTCTATCCAGTTTCTAATATACCACGATCTAATTTGACTCCCTTTGGAAGCCCAGTAACTCCAGAAGTCCATAATGTTTTCACAAATGTACACACAGACACTAGTGCCAACAATATAGCTCAAAGAAGTCAGTCAGTCCCATTGACTGTTATGATGCAGACAGCCTTCCCCACTCTTCAGAAACAAGCAAACAGTAAAAAAATAACCAATGTTTTGTTGAATAAACTTGATTCTGACAATGATGATGCAGTAAGAGGTTTGGGAATAAACAACCTGCCCTCCAATTACACAGCAAGGATGAATCTCACTCAGATATTGGAAACTTCCACTGCTTTTCCTAGTGCCAATCCACAGAATATGATCAATTCCAGCACTTCAGTTTATGAATTCCAGACACCAACTTACCTCACAAAAAATAACAGCACGGATCAGATTAATTTTTCTCCTGGAGATAACCAAGCACAATCAGAAATTGGAGAGCAGCAGTTAGATTTCAGTAGCACTGTTAAAGACCTGTTGGGTGGGGACAACCTGCAGGCCAATCCGCAGCTGGTGGGTCAGGTAGCATCAGATCTCAGTAATGTTGCATCTGATTTCTCTAGCGATATCAGATTGTCTTCTGAACTCTCAGGCAGCATCAATGATTTGAACACTTTAGACACAAATCTGCTGTTTGATCCAGGTCGCCAGCAGGGACAAGATGATGACGCTACACTGGAGGAATTAAAGAACGATCCATTATTTCAGCAAATCTGCAGTGAATCCATGAGCGCCATGACTTCATCAGGTTTTGAGTGGATGGAAAGCAAGGACCATCCCACTGTTGAAATGCTGGGTTAAATTGTGTTTTATAATATGTAGCACACTGTATCTAATGACAGATGTATTGTATTTGTCTTAATGGAAGTGCCTCCCGCAGCAGAAACACTTGCTATTTATTAATTGTGACATTTTGAAAGGGTTTGCTGCATTAAGTGGTTCATTCTTCACTAGGGAATAGATGAGACTTGCTTCTGTTCTAAATAAGTTTCTGAAGACAATGGGTCTATCCATAAACCAGTATTAGGATTTAAATTTTATGATGTTCCCCATTTAATCACATTTTTTTTTTATTAGTCGACAGTTAACCAGCTTTCACAACAGTGGTCCAGATGATTATTTTTTAAAATCTGTTTTATTCCATTAGTTGATCTGCACAGAATCCCATTGGTTTTAGGCATAAGGTTGTTTTTGTTTTTGTTTTCCCTTTTGGCACTTTTAGATAAGAAATCACAGCTGTGATGAACTATAGATAAGGCCATTCTTAAACTAAGGATAGTATTCAGATAATAACAAGTGTGTAGTCTTGAAGCATAGGGCTATGGTATAGTGAGAAATTTCTGTAGGGCTTTCTCTTGCTTCAATAGCATTTACACCTAAAATGAAGGGCTTAAATAGGAGAAAATAATGAAAATTTTAATACTAGTTTAAGGAAAGAAAGCTGCACTAAATTTTTTTTAAAGAAATAAACCTAGTGTTAGCCATTTATATTTGTGACCTCATGTTTAGTCTTTTAAGTATCATTTTAAAATGTTGTTTTTTTTTTTTTCAACATGAAACAAATAATTCTGGGCACTGAAACTTTTAAGCACGTTTCACATGTTTCATGTTTTATTGATAATTTAGGATAGGGAAGTGGAAATAAAAATAATTGTTTTTAAATAGAATGGCTACATGAAAATATTAAAATGTTATTATTTGAGATTTATTTTTAAACCCTTATCATATGTTCTGGTAATCAGGAAGGAATTTTTTTCCCTCCTCTCAATTTAGTCAGCCAATACTTTTTGATCCTCCTGAATACAAAAATGCAGTTTGATCATGAGAATCTTCTGAAAAACACACAGGCAAGCAGGAGAAATAGAAAAAAAAAAACTGGACTGAAAATGGTTACCATCTAAGGCCTGACTTCACAAATCCTTTATTCTCTTGTAAAAGTGCTGATATAAGTAATACTTAACAAAAGAAGAAATTTTTATTACTCGGTTGCTTATTTATTGTAGCAACCAAAACTGCAAGAGAAACACTCAGGATTTATTTTAAAATTGCTTTTTCTGCATGCCTCCTGTTTTGTTTTAATGAATGTTTATAAATTTCACATCAGTATATGCAATCTGCTATCCATTTAAGAGTTCAGTTTTTTAAGTGAACTTTTCAAGTTTATTGCAAAATTGATTAAGACATTACTATTAAGTTTTTAAAGTGACATTAAAACCATTTTAAATACAAATGCAATGTTTTAACTAAACTTTCCTTTAACTTAATTAGTAAGCCAGTCAGAATATTACAATCAATGAATATTTAAAAAATGCGATAAAGAGTTTAATTTAAAAAGGGTTCATTGTTCAGTAAAACTGCAAGGTAGGGGGATCAATACATTTCAATAAATGGTGCTAGGGTTGGCTCAGAGCTTGTATATTGTACTAGTTATTGGCATTTGTGTGTGTTTGCTGTTATGATTTAAAAATTGGTTAGATACCTGTTCTTAATGCTAGTTATTTCTTTACTGTACATTGAGACACAGCACTACTGCACACCAAAGTATGCGATACCCAAAGGAAAACTATGTGATTTCTCTAACAAATGATGGGAGCCTTTCTGTGTGAGAAATTTGGAAGAGGAGAATTTGAGGCCATTCTGATCCCTTGTTTACATTATTAGCTTCCTACTAACAAAACAAAATAATGGAAATGTTTTTTGATAAAATATTAAGACTAGTGAATTTTTACCCCCTGTACAGTATTGCAGCAAACACTTTAAATTTGGTTGATTAGTCCAGCAAACTTTTCTGGGGTTCATATATTGCACTAAATTTCTGTTGAACCTGTGGTAGGCACATCTCTTAGGATAAATGCAACCAATACAGTCCACAGATAACTTTTTAAATGTGTTTCATTATGAAAAGACAAATGTCATCAAAGTGACAGATAAAATTGTCTTATGTAGCAATGTGCATTGATCTCAATGAGATATTTCTATTTCTTATTCTCTTAAATGAGAATATTACAGCAGGAAAAAATTAAGTTTAGTTTGCTTCACCATGTTAATACATGATCACAAAGCGTGCATGAGTGTTATTGACTTATCTTGTACAGTACTAGGTATATTCCTGTAACCACTTTTTTTTGGCTATATTGAAACTGGTTCAGTGTTAACCAGGTAAGCATAGTTATTCACAAGTTATTTCCTCTTTTATGTTGACTAATTCTGCTTAGTTATTGTTGAATATGTTCTTTTCTCGGATTATTTTCATTGTTCCCGTGTTTAAAATATTTTGCATCATTTTATCATGATAATACTTCATGAAATAAGTAATTTTGCATATAATTGCAATAAGCACTGACTTTTGAACTGAAAAGAAGGAAAGTGTTTTTTGTGCAGTGCATCTGAGGTTCATATAACAGTCTTGTACTATACTGTGCTTTACTGCACCATAAGGAAAAAAAAAATCCCTGTTCCACATTTTCATTTAGTGCAAAAAGTCAGATTTCCCCCAGTGTTTTGTTGTCTGTTGTACCTGCTGAAACTACAGTAGTTGACTATTGCAGTAGCATTTCAGTTCTCTTTTTTTATTGGAAGTGCTCAAGAATTGTTTTTTAAATGTTTTCAAAAACAATAAAAACATTTTATATTAAGATAACTGAATTTTGAAAGTTATTTACAGGCTGTCTGTTAACATAGACATGTAAATCTTTTTTTTTTTTTCATTCTGGCATTTAACTCCTTTCTCTTCAACAAAAGGTTAAAAATCTACTCAGAGAACACATAGAGGGTAAAACCACAAGTCAACTATTTACTGCATGTTTAACTTGAGGCAAATCGTGTGCCTTCTTTGAGATTCAATTTCTTCATCTTTAACATAAGGGAATCAGATGAGAGGAACTCTGAGGTCACTTCTAATTATAAATCTATGATCCTGTGTTACATAGTTCATTTTTTCAATTGTGTATTAGACCTAATCCAGCTATTCCTTTCTGTTATTGTTAAAAAATTTGTATCCCTCAAAACTTTGTTGAGCACTGACTTATAACTTGTACCTCAAATTGGTTGCCAGTAGAGAAGTTTAACTCATTAACTATATGAAATTCTATATAGCTATTTGAGATTGAAGCAAATTCAACAGGTAGACTTCGTTTTTTGTGTAGGTGAGAATCCTGGAAAATGCACTCTTAAGTCAAATCTGGTTTTCCCACAGAAACAGTAACAGGTAACCAAGTATCTGACGTCCAGTTTTTAATTTTTTTACATAAAACATTTCCATATTATTCATTTTGTACAAGAAGACTCCAACTGGGGCTGCAAGGTGGCGCAGTGGATAGAGCATCAGCCCTGAAGTTAGGAGGACCTGAGTTCAAATCTGGCCTCAAACCAACTCTTGACACTTAATAGCCGTGTGACCCTGGGCAAGTCACTTAACCCCAATTGCCTTTAAAAAAAAAAAGACTCCAACAAAAAAAAGTGAAAAAATAATTGCTTCAGTTTGTATTCAGAAAACATCAGTTCTTTATCGGGAGGCAGATAGCATGTTTCATCATGAGTCCTTTGGGATTGTCTTGGGTTATTTTATGGCTAAAAATAGCTAAGTTGTTCACAAGTCTTCATCTTACAATATTACTGTTGCTGTGTACAACATTCTCCTGGTTCTGCTCACTTCACTGTGCATCAATTCGTGTAAGTCTTTCCAGGTTTTTCTGAAATCATCCTGCTTGTCATTTCTTACAGCACAATAATGTTCCATCACAATCATATTCCACAGCTTGTTCAACCATTTCCTAATTGATGAACTTCCCCTCAGTTTCCAGTTTCTTTGCCACCACAAAAAGAGTTGCTATAAATATTTTGATACAAATAGGTCCTTTTCCCTTTTTTGGGATATCTTTGGGATATAGACTTGGCAGTGGTATTGCTGGAGCAAAGGGTATGCATGGTTTTATAGCCCATTGGGCATAGTTTCAAATTGCTCTCCAGAATAGTTGGATCAACTCACAATTCTACCCACAATGCCTTAGTGTACTGGTTTTCCCACATGCCCTCCGTTTATCATTTTCCTTTTTTGTCACATTAGCCAATCTGATAGGTGTGAGTTACCTCAGAGTTGTTTTAATTTGTATTCCTCTAATCAATAGTGATTCAGAGTGTTTTTTTCATGATTATAGATAGCTTTGATTTCTTTGTCTGAAAACTGCCTGTTTTGTATCCTTAGTGATGTCCAGCTTTTTAAAGAAAAGAGATTCCATATTTAATTGTAGCTTTCCCTCTGGGGCTAACCCTTCCCTTTACTCATACTTGTAGGTTGCATTCTTAAGGGATGACTCCCTAGCTTTCTCTTTTCTTAACTGCCAGAGATGGCTCCTAGACTACAGAGCTTCTCCTATCTTCATTGACTCCAGAGCTAGCAAGCTTACTTTTTAAAGGTCATCAATAACATGGATGATCCTTCAGCCAGCCAATGGCTAGCCACTCTATAATTCCATCAGGTTTGATTTAGCAACTTTATACATCCTAAAGAAGCAAAGAGGAATAAGCATTTATTTATACTTCCTGTATGCCTCCTTTACATAATCCATTATAAAGGTTATATTTTTATAATGTGAGGGTCTTTAGGGGACTCCAAAACCCTCATGTGCCATCTAATGTGAATGTAAAAGCCCTATAATGACTTTAAGCCAAGATGGGTCTTACAGGTCTACTTTAGCAAAACTTCATATCCTAGCAAAGTGCCAAAGCCTCCCCAGAGCAAAAATTAGGAGTATATTTCTGCCTGGTAGTATGTTACTGGAATATACTGGGAAAGGAAACTTTGTGTAGTATAAAATAAATTTTCATTAAAATCCGTGCACATTTTTAGTAATAAAATTATTCACAATGGCCCCGTTACTTAAAGAAAGAAGACAAAAATCAATATAATTTATTTTTCTTAATATGTCTCATTGGCCTTCACTTTCATTTTCTCTATTAAGGAATAGTAAGTATTGTTGAGAGAACCAAGGAATAAGAATGTTGAAGCTAGAAAGACCCCCTTCATTTTACAGATGAGAACACCAGCCAGGGAAGTTAGTGATGTGCTTAGATGTGATTAGATAGATAACAAGTGGCACAGTCAAGACTTGAAACCAGGTGGTCTAGGAAGAACAGAGTAAGAATTCTTAGAGAATTTAAGTGAGTTAAGTCTTCAAATGCCACCCCCCCAAAAAAGTATGAAGTGATACAGAGTGAAGTGAACAGAATCATAACAATTTATACAGTATACAGTAACTACATTATAAAAACAACTCTGAAAGACTTAAGAACTCTGTGCTACCCAACTCTTGCCATGTTTCTGTAATTTGTTTATGATGTAACTTTTTATATTTAGGTTATATACCCATTTGGAGCTTATCTTTTCATAAGCTATTAAGTGTTGGTCTAAATTTAATTACTTTAATACTGCTGTCCAATTTTTCCTGCAGTTTTTGCAAATATTGAGTCTTGTCAGTGATAGTCCCGGGAATTTTAATTTAGGGGTTCCTGTT